AAATATAACTCAAGGCAACCATTAGTCCATAGAGATTGTCATCAATTACCAAAACCAAACATGGGGGCACCGCATGTTCTTTCACCAAGTACCACTACACCCGGAGACCACAGATCCGTGAAGTTCCGCTACCGTCGTCGTGGACCCGACAAGTTTGCGAGTACAACTACTTCCTCTACGACCCGCGAGAACCACTACTTTTGCTACCGTCGAGAGAACGTCTACTTCCTTCGACGAACTTGATCCGTTCCGAAAACGCACGCTACGAAGGTATAACCATCGAGACGATCGCCCGTGAACGAATGCTTGTGTTGTATGAGATGCTCCTGTTTGGCCGTGTTCGCGCCGTGTCCGTTTTGTCCCTCGTTTCCTTGCCACCGATTCATGGGACACCTGGTATCCGGGATCACCCCACCATCTTTTGCATGCTCCCGTCATTTTCCTTTTGCATCGGTATTTCCATGAGCTACCGGAACCGTTATCGTTGTCGTGGCACCCCTTTCTTTCCACCACGGTGACAAATGCTTCATGATGCTCTTGTCAATTTTTAATAAAAAATGCATAAACTTGTTCATGTCATCCGCATCATGATAACAACAATTAAATGTTTAAAATTGTTGTTGCAATAAATTACTAAGGCATATGGGGATTTACCGGATTCGTTGTTTATTATATCCGGCCCCATTTAAATTGTTTAGATGGTATAGTTTTGTTATGCTTCACCTCTTGCCATGCTTAACTACATTTAATTTTGTTGGGTACATAACCGAGAGAGAACTAATTAATCGATGCGGTGCTTCGTCAATATGCAACTCGTTGCATATTGAGCTCCACTTAATTTGAAGTGTTGTTTGTGCACTTTGCCATGCCTTTTTAAACCGGACATGCATCATACTTGGTTGTGCATCGTGCCATGCTTATGTGATGTTTGTTTACTATGTTGTTTGCTTATTTCCGGGTTCCTTCTCACGTTAGCTTCGGTTTCGTTCCGGAGTTGTGAGGATCCGTTAAACTATGTCCGTTTGTCTTCTTCATGGACTCGTTCTTCTTTCTTGCGGGATTTCAGGTAAGATGACCATACCCTCGAAATCACTTCTATCTTTGCTTGCTAGTTGCTCGCTCTTTTGCTATGCCTATGCTGCGATACCTACCACTTGCTTATCATGCCTCCCATATTGTTGAACCAAGCCTCTAACCCACCTGGTCCTAGCAAACCGTTGTTTGGCTATGTTACCGCTTTGCTCAGCCCCTCTTATAGCGTTGCTAGTTGCAGGTGAAGATTGGAGTTTGTTCCTTGTTGGAACATGGATATTTGTTGGCATATCACAATATCTCTTATTTAATTAATGCATCTATATACTTGGTAAAGGGTGGAAGGCTCGTCCTTATGCCTGGTGTTTTGTTCCACTCTTGCCGCCCTAGTTTCCGTCATATCGGTGTTATGTTCCTGGATTTTGCGTTCCTTACGCGGTTGGGTTATAATGGGAACCCCTTGACAGTTCGCCTTGAATAAAACTCCTCCAGCAATGCCCAACATTGGTTTTACCATTCGCCACCTAGCATTTTCTTTTCCTTGGGTTCTGCAGACTCAAGGGTCATCTTTATTTAAACCCCCCTGGGCCATTGCTCCTCTGAGTGTTGGTCCGACCGAGTAGACTGCGGGGCCACCTCGGGGCAACTTGAGCGCTGGTTTTACTCATAGGATGTCTCATCTGAGTGTGCCCTGAGAACGAGATATGTGCAGCTCCTATCGGGATTTGTCAGCACATTCGGGCGGTGGTGCTGGACTTGTTTTACCATTGTCGAGGATGTCTTGTAACCTGGATGCCGAGCCTGATCGGATTGTCTTGGGAGAAGGAATATCCTTCGTTCACCGTGAGAGCTTGTGATGGGCTAAGTTGGGACACCCCTGCAGGGATTTGAACTTTCGAAAGCCGTGCCCGTGGTTATGGGCAGATGGGAATTTGTTAATGTCCGGTTGAAGAAAACCTGAAGTTGACCTTAATTAAAATACATCAATCACGTGTGTTACCGTGATGGTCTCTTTCCGGCGGTGTCCGGGAAGTGAACACGGTGTTGGAGTTATGCTTGACGTAGGCTGTTCTAGGATCACTTCTTGATCATAGTTCATCGATCGTGCTTTTGCCTCCTCTTCTCGCTCTCTTTTGCGAATATGTTAGCCACCATATATGCTAGTCGCTTGCTGCAGCTCCACCTCATACCTTTTGCCTTACCCATAAGCTTAAATAGTCTTGATCACGAGGGTGCGAGATTGCTGAGTCCCTGTGACTCACAGATACTTGCAAAACCAGTTTGTAGATGCCGTTGAACCGTGCAGATGACACAACCAAGCTCAAGGAGGAGCTCGATGAAGATCTTGTCATTTGTGTTGTTTCGTTCTAGTTGATTAGTAGTGGAGCCCGGTCGGGACGATCAGGGATCTGTGTAGCATTTGGGGTAGTCTTCTTTTATTTTGTTTCCGTAGTCGGACCTTGTGTGTATCTGGATGATGTAATGCTTTATTCATGTATTGTGTGAAATGGCGATTGTAAGCCAACTATGTATCTTTTTCCCTTATGTATTACATGGGTTGTGTGAAGATTACCTCACTTGCGACATTGCTTTCAATGCGGTTATGCCTCTAAGTCATGCTTCGACACGTGGGAGATATAGCCGCATCGAGGGCGTTACTCTCCTCTCCCCTCCCACCTATATATATGTGGGGAGGGAGCTCCAAACAAGGACACAACATTGTCTCGGCCATGTGCAGCGCCCCCGTCGACCGTTTACTCCCTCGGTCATATTTTCATAGTGCTTAGGCGAAGCCCTGCGGAGATCACATCACCATCACCGTCAGCACACCGTCGTGCTGACAGAACTCATCTACTACCTCGCCGTGTTGCTGGATCAAGAAGGCGGAGGACATCCCCGAGCTGAGCGTGTGCAAAACGCGGAGGTGTCGTGTGTTCGGTACTTGATCGGTTGGAGCGCGAATAAGTTCGACTACATTAACCGCATTGTCAAACGTTTCCGCTTACGGTCTACGAGGGTACATAGACATACTCTCCCCTCGTTGCTATGCATCTTCATGGATAGATCATTGTGTGTGCATAGATTTTGTTTTCCATGCAACGATTCCCAACAAGACGTGTCCAGGCCTCCTCATATTCGCCTGAGATATTGGTTGGATATGGGGGGTGGCGATCAACCCAGACGTATAGGGCCGGTTTGAGGAGCCCAGCTAGGTTGTGATTTTGTGACCAGTCACTGACCGAGTCGTTCGCCTGGACGTATAGGGGGGCTTGAGGAGCTCGGCTATAGATGCTCTAAACTTGACACACAAGTTCAGTGTATATTGTAATTTGCAACCAAAATCAAGGAGAGTATTGCACTTTCATTCTCCCTCCTTTTGGCGTCCTTTGACAATACAAATTTAGTTCACAAGATATTGAATTGAAGATTAAGGTTGCTTAGGATAAATGAGGAGACTCCTTTTAGACAGTAGCGGTGCTACATGGTGACTATGATGTCAAACGACATCACGGAATTAAGGTTTGCAGTCTATGTTTTAATACTTTTAGATATAGTTTGTGTACACATAAGCTAAATTTCTGACTTTGACATCATAGCTTCTGATGGCTAGCACCACCACTGCCTCTAGATATGTGCATCACCAATAAGAATATGCTTGTTTAAGCATAATGCACACGTCTAGAGCCAAGAGACCCCCCCTAAATCTTAGAGCAAAGTGAGGTGATACAATGTGTAATAGATATAAAAATCATCATTGCACACCACTGTGAGGTAACATGATATCAAGCATCTAACAACGCCTCACATGGTGGAGTGTGCGACATGGCATAAGGTAATCATACGCTTGCCCACAAAGTTAATAAGCAAAGATACCAACAAGGTAGATATAATAATGACATCAATGGCATCACATAAACAAGATAAGCAACATTGCACATATCCAAGATATTAAAAAAATATGGCCTCATGGTTAGCTTAAACAAGGTACTCAGAGCAACCAATGCTCAGACACATGCACATAGGATATAAAAGTCTTGGCCAAGCCAAATAATACACCAAAAGTTTGGGTCTTGCCAAATCACCAATATACCCAAATGTGACCCGACCAATCCTAATAGAGCTCATTATTCTCCCCCTTTGGCATAAATAAAAACACCAAAAGGAGAGAAGAAGAGAGATGCTACCGCATAACCCACTACTCATTCTCATCATCACCGTCGTCATCCTCTTTATAGAATTCATCGAAGTTGGGGGTCTTCAAGAGGCTCATTGGCATCATCAGGCTTGGTCACTTTCATTGCCACTTGAGAAGGGATACACATACGCCTCAAGACGGTTGCTATCATCCTCAGACCCATACGGTACATCCTGCCCATTGTGATGACACTCTTTATTGATGAGGCTAAGAGCAAGCTTCGATCTGGCACTTGACTTATGCATACGGTGGTTAATTTGCCCTGATGTAGCTCAGCATGGCCTTTTGATCCCGCCATGGAAAGCCCTTCATCTTTGGGGGCACTGTAGGACATTGAGGGTCCATGAGGGCCAGCCGGTCCATTGTCATGAGCTTCGTGAGAACTAGAACTGGGAGCTTCACTCCCATTTGGCTTTGGCTTGGCACCAGGGCATAGAGTGGGATGATAACGATCTAGTTTGGTGTTGGTGCAAGAAGCAGAATCGGTGCAAAATATGTTTTAACAGCACAAACTAGCATTTTCCCATGGCATTCAGAGAGACATTATTACTGTTGCGGTAACTAGACTAGCAGGTTTCAAACGGAGCTCACAACACTCTAAAGCAGGTCTCATACCACTGATAACAAACCACCGGCAGTGCAGCAAATACCATGAAAAGCATAGCTCATGTACACCTAAACTACGCTGCAGAGGCCTCCTCAGACTGTTGCCAACACGACAATGCCTTTCCTCCTGTGCTGTGCTGCCCCTGCGCTTCACTCCAGCTTCCTACTACTGCAGCTCGCCGACGCACCACAGGTCCTCGGGGTCCTCCTCTCCCAGCGCGGGGTTCTCCAGTGCGAGCTCCTCCGAGACGTACGCCAGCCCCTGCATCAGCCTCACCACCTCCGCCGTGTCGTCGAGGTAGTACTTGGCCTTGCTCGGCTTGCGGCCGACGGTGCAGGCGAACACCTCCGCCGTGGACGCGAACGAGTCGGCGCAGGAGGCGCTGGTGATGAACTGGAACATGTCCTCGTCGGAGCGGTCGTCCCCGATGCAGAGCACGAAGTCCGGGCACATGCCACGCTCCTGCAGCGCCGCCAGCATGCGCCGCGCCACCAGGCCCTTGCTCACGCCCTGTTGTTCAACACAAGAATTGTGTGTAAGCAGTGAGGTTTGATTCGTGCCAAGAGGGTGAGATGGGATTGAGAGGCTTCTTCACCTGTGGTTTAGCTTCGACGGAGTGCACGGTGCTCTTCACGGACACCGGCTCGTTGGTGAGCACGCTCTCGAGGTGGTCGACGAGCTCCTTGGCCTGGCATGACCCGAAGTCGGGGTCCGCGTCCTCGTAGTTCCAGACGAGCACCGTGTCCCTCTCCTCGATTATCGAACCGTCCGTCGTCTCGGTGTAGAGCTCCATGACCGGCTTTGCAATCTGCATCCAGCTGCAGTCCGCGGGTGGGATGCAGGTCTCCCATTCTGCGTCCCTCTTCAGCCTTATTCAGTACAGTACATTTCAGAAATTAGACTTCCTAGCAGCCGCCCACCATATGTAGCAACAAAATATCATGGCAGAAAAGAAAAAAAAGGCATGCTATTCCACTTCAACTTGAATACGAACTTATGATTTTCTTCGAAAAGGAGGCTTGACCCCGGGCCTCTGCATCATTGCGATGCACACAGCCATAGAATATGAACCTATGATGCAACATACCAAAAGATTTCTCCATACATGTGCCACTAAGTTGTACTTGTTGTAATGATATAGAGTCCAATAACATTTCAATTTAGTTAGCTAAGGAGGACAGGCAAGAAAAGGATGGCCTGCATCTGCAAGTCTGAATGTTGAGCATTGAGCTAAGCTTGCAAGAATGTACATAAAAGCGAAGCAAACCTTAACTTAAGCTCATACCTCATGAAGTAGCCATGCTCAGCTGCCATGCCAAGGTTCTCGGCAGGGAACCACTCGTCGAGCGTGCAGCGTTTGAAGCCGCTGCAAAGGAACACCGCATTCCTCTGGTCCTGGCACAAGCTATTGAGTATCTGGACCGATTTCGCAGTGGGGCTCTTGTTGATCGCCTGCGGCATCAGCGTTCCGTCGTAGTCCAGCAGAATGGCGCGCGTCTTCGACCTCCTGTACGCCTGAACAATGTGCTCCATTGCGAGCTTCCTGAAGCTCAGGTCAAGCGAGACCACCCTGAACCGGAGGCCGAAGCCGATTCCCCAGCATCGTCGGTTCGAGTGATCCTTGCAGGTCCTCTCAAGGTCCTGGAGGAAGCTGTTGGCCCAGTAGCCGACGTCGTGCTTCTCCACGTAGCGGTAGTGCTTGTCGTGCCGCAGATTCTTCTCCTTCTCGGGCAGCACAAGGGCGCACTCCATGGCGTCGGCCACGGCCTCGATGTTCCATGGGTTCACCCTTATGGCACCGCTGAGTGACGGGGAGCACCCGATGAACTCGGACACCACCAGCATGCTCTTCTTCTCCTCTGGCTTGCACAGCCGCAGTATTCTGTCAAGCCTGTCGTTGCCTTGCCGGGAGGCGACGTACTCATAGGGGATCAAGTTCATGCCGTCCCGGACCGCGGTCACCAGGCACACCTCTGCAATGACGTAGTAGGCGACGCGCTCGTAGAACTGCAGTGGCTGGTCAATCAGCACCACCGGCTCGTACCCCGGCGCGCCATACGCCTCGTTGATCCTCTTCACCATGGCATAGGTCTCCTCCTGCACGCCGACGACGTCCTTCCCCCGGCCCCTCGCCGGGTTGGCGACCTGCACCAGCACCAGCCTGCCCCGCCACTCGGGGTGCTGCCCCAGCAGCTCCTCCATGGCGAGCAGCTTGAGGCTGATCCCCTTGAATATGTCCATGTCGTCGACGCCGAGCATGACGACCCTGCCGTTGCCGGTGTAGGTCTCCATGAGCTCGGCGACCTTGGCCTCGGTCTCCGGCAAGGCGAGCACCGCGTTGAGCTGCTCCATGTAGACCCCGACGGGCAGGATCTTGATGCTGACGGTGCGGCCGTAGTACTCGAGGCAAATGTGTCCCCGCTTGGACTCGTAGGGGAGGCCGAGCATCCGGCCGCAGCAGGAGAGGAAGTGGCGGGCGTAGTCGAAGGTGTGGAAGCCGATGAGGTCGGAGTTGAGGAGCGCGCGGAGGAGCTCCTCCCGGACGGGCAGCGTCTTGTAGATCTCGGAGGAGGGGAAGGGCGAGTGGAGGAAGAAGCCGAGCTTGATGCGGTTGAAGCGCTTGCGGAGGAAGGTGGGGAGCACCATGAGGTGGTAGTCGTGCACCCACACGAAGTCGTCGTCCGGGTTGATCACCTCCAGCACCTTGTCGGCGAACACCTTGTTGGCGGAGACGTAGGCCTGCCAGAGAAGGCGGTCGAAGCGGCCGCCGAGGTCCGGGGACAGCGGCAGCATGTAGTGGAAGAGCGGCCAGAGGTGCTGCTTGCAGAAGCCGTGGTAGTAGCGCGCGGCGGTGTCGGCGGGGAGGAAGGCCGGCACGCAGTTGTAGGAGTCGAGGAGCGCCTGCGCCACGGCGTCCTGCTCGGGGACGGGGACGTCCTCGCGGAGGCAGCCGATGTAGATGAACTCCATGGAGGGGGAGGAGGAGCTCTTCTGCAGGTGGCGGAGCAGCGAGTCCTCGTCCCAGGAGAAGGTCCAGGGCTCCTCCGGCGAGGCCGGGCGGTGGGCCCGGATCGGGAGGTGGTTGGCGACGACGATGGTGCGCGGGCGCGGCGCCGGGGACGGCGTGGAGGGCGACGCCGGGGAGTCCTCCATGAGCCCCGGCGTGGTGACCACGCTCGGGAGCCGCCGCCGCAGCGCGCCCAGCGCGGCCGGCGCCGGCCCCTGGTCCGCCGCGCCGGTCGCCAGGTCCAGCAGGTTGGAGTAGGAGCTCGACACCATGGCCTCCCACCACCACTCCTCCCGCGAGCAAGACTCAAGATTTCGCGAGAAAGGGGGCGGATTTGGGGAGGAACGGCGCCGCTTCAACCGGCGAGAAGGAGGAAGAACGGAGCCGCCGATATTTGGCACGCAGTTCCTGGCGAGACAGTTGAAGCGGAGAGTGGATTGTTGTGGCCTTGTGGGGAGGTGCCGAGGCCTGGGCTGGGCTCAGCAACAACAACAAGGCGTCCACCTGACCGACCTGGGGGCTGGGGTGGGTGCTCCTCTCCGGACCGGTGGAGTGAGCAGTGATGCATTAATTGTAGAGAGAGAAAGGGGTGGGAAAGATAAAGGAGGGCCTTTCTGTACTTTTGACACAAGGGGTGAAACCTTTCGTGCAATTCGGCGGCGGCCGTATTCCCCTGGTAGCTCGACAAGTGTGCCGCTCGCTACACTCCCCCGCATAAAAGACTTGATAGATAGGTTTCCTCCTCAGCTCACGACGAGGCCGGTTTGGTCCGTTCCTCTGGGCAGCAAGAAACATACCATCATCATCATCAGCATCAGCATCAGATGGTAAAATTGCCAGCTGATCTCAAGCGGGACTGCACACGATCCGGTGGAACTACCCGTGGCGCACGAGGGCGAGCGGCTGCGGGTGCGGGCGGGCGCCCTTTATAGGAACAGACAGCGGCTCGCATCGTGGTGATCGGATGGATCGGGCCGGGATCGGAGGTAAGGCGGGGGAGGAGAGCCGAGGGTTTACTACAAGAAAGAAACACGAGGGAATGGGACGGGAGGCGGACGAGGGAGAGCGTATTCGGAGATTTCCTTGCGTTGGACTTTGGCCGGTGGTGCTGGGTTGGATCTATTGGCCGGTCCCCAGCGAGGATAACAACCGGGGGCAGCGAGTCTATCTGTGGACGGCGGAGAGTGATCGGTGGCCCGATGTGTCTGTCCTTGGTTAGTTCGTTTTACACCTGGGGCAGGGGGGGTTTTCAGAGGCTGGAACAGGAATGGTGTGCTGATTCGCAATAAAAAGTTTCCGGCTATTTTGTGATCGCGGTGTAAATTCGTGAGATGCTCGGTCCGGATGGAAGAACCAGAGCATTGGTGATTCTAGAAGATTTAAATTTTTTTATGACGTGCGTTGTCGCAACATGGTCTTTTCACATGTGCAACATACGATACAAGCAATATTTCCTAAGTTGATTTCATGCAACAAATTCTCTGTGCTCGGAAAGCTGACAGTAAATTAAAGTGTTACGCTTCTGTGTACATATTATGTTTGTGTTCACTCGGCGATTTTTTTTTGAACGCAAGAAGGGCCCCGAAGGACTCAGACTATATTAGATAAGCATGCAACATCTTACATGAAGGCCCAATAGAAAAAGGAAATTACAACCCAGGCCCGACATTTTTGTAGATAGGACCCCAGACAGCAAAACTGAAAAGCAATCGAGTCCTCTTCGCCGTCTTCGATCCTGGCCCGATCCCACCACCTCCGGGGACGAAACCACTTGGGGCGGAGGAATGGCTACAGCACCACCGGCGAACAACCGGAGGTAGACAGTTGAAGTGCCAGTCGAAGAACATGTTAAACTGCCTCCCATATGGCTCGGCGGCCGGGAGGAAATACAGGAGCCGGACGTCGTCGCCAGAACTCCGAGTGGTCGCCTTTCGACCAGAAGATGCAGCGGCGCAGTGGCGAGAATCTGGTGGTGCTCTCTGCACCAAGATCCCCAACCATTTGCTGCAAAACTTGGGCTCCAAGGACACGCAGAGAGGATAGAGCAGCAAAATCCCTTTCCTCCCTCTTCTTCCAGTCCACCTCCATGGCAGCTCGAGAAGAAGTGGGAAAGAAAGGACTTGAGCTCCAGATCTGGGACACCCACGAGCTTATTTGGGGGAGGAACGCCGACGAAAATCTCCTCTGCCTCTGGCTCCGACCACCGGAGCACCGTGAAGAGGAGCTTCACCGCCGCAAACAGCTGGTCACAGCTCGCCTGCACCAGCCGCATGCCTCCCGACGGCATGACGCCAGTCCTAAAAGCAACCTTACATCTACTCTGTACAGCAACCCAAGCTCTTCTCCCTACCCTACTCCGGCCGGCCACGCCGTCGGAGAGGAGAGGGGCCCGAGCCGGGCCTGAGCAAGAGACGACTCTCAAGACGAGGAGGGAGGAGAGGAGGTGGAGGGAGTCTAGGGTAAACTCCGCCTTTTCACGTTACCATCGGGGCTGCCGTCCACGCTTCGGACCAAGGGGGATGCACCTTGCAGGGTGCAGTTACAGCTGCACACGGCGATTTTGACCGCTATATTCTAACTTTTGCGGATGGCTTCACCATATTTCTCGTTTTTTGCAATTAGGAAGAAAGGAGGGAGCTCTTTGGATAGACGTATGCACGTCTCTTCACATATGCAACATCGATGCAAATAGCATTTCCTTAGTTGTTTCCATCCAAAACAACAACAACAATATGTGTAATAAAATCGCTTCATACAAAGCTAATAATAAATTACATATGTAAACAGTTCAAAAAAATACATATGTAAAGCATGGCACTTCCGTCTCCGCGTTCGCACGGCAGATTTAACCACAATAATGTATTTTTTAGATCATTGTAGCATATGTAACTACTTTTACAGTTATAGAGAGAAGAAGCACACTATGAGGATAGGCATTGTCTTTTCACATATGCAACACTAAACTATGTTATTTTCTAAATTACACCTCTGCATTCTTCTTTACTCGGCAGTTTCAGACCGGTATCGTATTTCACGGATAACTTTAATGCATGTAGCCATTTTTGCAACTAATAAAGAGAAGAGGCCCTTTGGATAGGCGTATGTCAGTCTTGTCACATACGCAACATGGAGAGGAACATTGTTCCCTAAGTTTTTTTCGTGCAACAAATAATGCATAATTAAATTGCATTTCATAAAAAAGGCTAACAATAAATTACAATGTGAAGCGTTACACTTGTATTTCGCATTTATTCAACAGTTCTGACCACTATATTGTATTATGCGGATGTCATTACCTCTTGTGGCCGTTTTAGCGGTCAATAGGGATACGAGGCCCTTTGGATAGACGTCTGCAAGTCTTGTCGCATACGCCATATAGAAAGAAAAATAATATCCTAAGGGCATGTCCAAGGCGGAACCGCAGATCTCCCGCAACCATCCGGACTGCGGAAGCCATCCAACGCGGGCCTGTATCGGCCCGCGGCGCGGTCCGGGCGTGATTTCTCCCGCAAATCAAAGACAAACGTGGAGGGAGCTTTACAGGAGTCCGGCCCGATCCCAAGCCCGATTCTCACCACCCTGGCCCGCCAGAAAAACCCACCCGCCCCTCCCGCGCATTCTTTTCGATGCACGCACCGCTTAATGTGCCACATTCATGCCGGCCCGGAGCATGCAGTGGTCGGCATTGATGTAATGCACGCGCCACTTAATGTGCCACAATTACTACAAGAAAGACGAGGAATGGGACAGGAGGCGACGAGGGCGTATTCGGAGATTTCCTTGCTTTGGACTTTGGTCGGTGGTGCTCAGTTGAATCTATTGGTCGGTCTCCAGCACCCAAGATGGCATGGAAAACAACTAGGGGCAGCGAGTCTATGGACTGGATGGCGGAGGGAGATCGGTGGCCCTCCGTTACCTTGGTTCGTTTTACACCTGGGCAGGAGTTTTTAGAGACTGGAAAAGGAATGTAGTGCTGAGTCGCAATAAAAAGTTTCCGGCTATTTTGTGATCCTGGTGTAAATTCAGGAGATCCTCGGTCCAGATGGAAGAACCAGAGCATTAGTGATTCTAGAATATATTTTTTTACAATGTGCGTCATTGCAACACGGTCTTTTCACATATGCAACATACAATACAAAGAATTTTTCCTCAGTTGATTTCATGCAACAAATTCTCTGTGCTCAGCAAGCTGACAGTAAATTAAAGTGTTACGCTTGTGTGTACATATTATGTCCGTGTTCACTCGGCAATTCTGACCATTATATTCTATTTTTGCGGATTGCTTCACCAGATTTGTCGTTTTTGAAGTTAGTAGGGAAGAAGAGGGATCTTTGGATACACATATGCAGGTCTCTTCACATATGCAACATCGATAGAAATAACATTTCCTTAGTTGTTTCCATGCAAAAAAATCATGTGTAATAAAATCGATTCATACAAAAGCATGGCACTTCTATGTCCGTGTTTGTCGTTTTTGCAATTAGGAAGGAAGAAGCGAGCTCTTTGGATAGACGTATGCAAGTCTCTTCACATATGCAACATCGATGGAAATAGCATTTCCTTAGTTTCCATGCAAAAAACATCAATATGTGTAATAAAATCGCTTCATACAAAGCTAATAATAAATTACATATGTAAAGCATGGCACTTCTATATCCGCGTTCGCACCATAGATTTAACCACAATACTGTTTTTTATCATTTTAGCATATGTAACTACTTCTACAATTATAGAGAGAAGAAGCGCACTATGAGGATAGGCATTGTCTTTTCACATATGCAACACTAAACTATGTTATTTTCTAAATTACACCTCTGTATTCTTCTTTACTCCGCAGTTTCAGACCCGTATCGTATTTCACGAACGACTTTAATGCATGTAGCCATTTTTGCAACTAATAAAGAGAAGATGTGAAAGATCGAGGATGTCGCCTAGAGGGGGGTGAATAGGCGCTTTAAAATAATTATGGTATAGGCTTGAACAACTGCGGAATAAACCTAGCGGTTAATTTGTCAAGCACAAAACCTGCAACAACTAGGCTCACCTATGTGCACCAACAACTTATGCTAAGAAAGCTAAACAACTAAGTGATAGCAAGATATATGACAAGAAATAATATGGCTATCATAAAGTAAAGTGCATAAGTAAAGGACTCGGGTAAGAGATAACCGAGGCACACGGAGACGATGATGTATCCCGAAGTTCACACCCTTACATCTCCATTTGGAGCGGTGTGGAGGCACAATGCTCCGCAAGAAGCCACTAGGGCCAC